ATTTGACTTCAATTAGATTAATTCGAGTTCGATTATATTATAATTGACCTAGATTGTTCTAATTTGACTTTAATTGGACTAATTCGAGTTCGATTATATTATAATTGACCGGGATTGTACTAATTTGACTTCAATTGTACTAATTTGACTTCAATTAGATTAATTCGAGTTCGATTATATTATAATTGACCGAGATTGTACTAATTTGACTTCAATTAGATTAATTCGAGTTCGACTATATTATAATTGACCTAGATTGTACTAATTTGACTTTAATTGGACTAATTCGAGTTCGATTATATTATAATTGACCGAGATTGTACTAATTTGACTTAAATTGTACTAATTTGACTTCAATTAGATTAATTCGAGTTCGATTATATTATAATTGTGCTCAATTGTACTAATTTGATTTTAATTAGACTAATTTGACTTTAATTGGACTAATTCGAGTTTGATTATTATAATTGACCGAGATTGTACTAATTTGACTTCAATTGTACTAATTTGACTTCAATTAGATTAATTCGAGTTCAATTATATTATAATTTACCGAGGTTGTACTAATTTGACTTCAATTGTACTAATTTGACTTCAATTAGATTAATTCGAGTTCGATTATATTATAATTGACCGAGATTGTACTAATTTGACTTCAATTGTACTAATTGGACTTCAATTAGATTAATTCGAGTTTGATTATATTATAATTGACCGAGATTGTTCTAATTTGACTTCAATTGTACTAATTTGACTTCAATTGGATTAATTCGAGTTCGATTATATTATAATTGACCGAGATTGTACTAATTTGACTTCAATTAGATTAATTCGAGTTCGATTATATTATAATTGACCGATATTGTACTAATTTGACTTCAATTGTACTAATTGACTTCAATTAGATTAAGTTGAGTTCGACTATATTATAATTGGCCGAGGTTGTACTAATTTGACTTCAATTGTACTAATTTGGCTTCAATTAGATTAATTTGAGTTCGATTATATTATAATTGACCGAGATTGTACTAATTTGACTTCAATTGTACTAATTTGACTTCAATTGGACTAATTCGAGTTCGATTACAATATAATTGTCCGAGATTGTACTAATTGGACTAACTAGAGTTCGATTACAATATAATTGACCGAGATTGCACAAATTTGACTTCAATTGTCCTAATTTGACTTTAATTGGACTAATTCGAGTTTGATTATATTATAATTGACCGAGAATGTACTAATTTGACTTCAATTGCACTATTTTGACTTCAATTATACTAATTTGACTTCAATTGGACTAATTCGAGTTCGATTACAATATAATTGTCCGATATTGTACTAATTGGACTAATTAGAGTTCGACTACAATATAATTGACAGAGATTGTACTAATTTGACTTCAATTGTACTAATTTCACTTCAATTAGACTAATTCAAGTTCAATACAAAATAAACAGATTTTCAAAACAGATTTTTATTAAAAACGGATTTTGAATAAAAAAATGTTTTTTATTAAATAAAAATAAAAGTTTTTAAAAAAATAAAAAATAATTTTTTTAAAAAAAGTATTTTTTTTAAACGGATTTTTTAAATAAAAATAAATTTCATTTCAAAAAAATTAAATAATTTTTTTTTATTAAAAATAATTTTTTTATACAAAAAAATTAGATAAAAAATATTTTTTATTTAATAAAAATAAAAATAAAAATTTTAAAAAAAAAAATAAAAAATATTTTTTTAAAATAAAATATTTTAATTTTTAAAAACGGATTTTTTTATTTTTTTCTAAAAATAAAGTTTTAGGCAAAAAAATTAAATAAAAATATTTTTTTATTAAAAAATAATTATTTATACAAATTCTTTTTAAACAAATTATTAAAAATTAATTTTTTTTTACAAAAAGAATTTAAATAAAAAATATTTTTTT